TATTTCTACGGGCAGAAGTCGTGGTCTGCAAAACAGAACAAAGATAAATTCCATGGTCCTTGAAATGGTTAGGAAATGGTATGAATGTTATGATGCATGATGTTATGTTCGAAAAATTTAATCACACACAAACAAAACACAGAAGGCCTTAGGTTAAATCTTTCATGGAGTTTATAGGTAAGTACCTTCTTGAAGTTTAGTTGGTTCAACCTATCCTAAAGAAAGTAACCGGGTTCTAAAGGATCTCAATATCACTGATATTTCTTTCGGGAATTGTTTTAGCTCAAGCTTCTTTATTAGCGACCGAAATATCCCAAAAGTCCGACCTCAATGAGTGTAGCATCGAGTATCAACCAACTTTAGTCTTTCACCAAAGTCGGCTATCTCACTACTTTCTAATGGCCAAGTTGTTCAACTAAGTTTCTACGGTCAGTTAGTGCTTTATGACACCACACAGTGGCCCCGTGTTCTCCTTGACTGGACTCAAGGGATATTGGTACCAACAAATATGTCACACTAACATAGTCATTGCTTCAACCATGTCGATATTATGCTGCATAGTCCTCACGATCTATTGCTACTTACCTAATGTGCCTCAGAACCGGGTATAGGATCTATACAAGAATACCCAAACATAACCTGAAATGTAAAGCAAGGAAGTCAAATAGTTAAAGCATTTAAATGTGTGAACTATCTCTAAGATAACCCCACTTTCTTCTTCCCCAACAGAGTCTCCAGTTTCGTAATATGGTGGGAGAACTGACTTTACTAGTTTTGTGTTTTATCGCAAATATTGCGGTTAGCAAGAGTCGCCACCGACTTTTCTTTTATCCAACAAAGGAAAGGGTGAAAAGAACAAGAAATACCTTTTTAAATATTTTGAGTTAGGGGGTAGGTTATGGAAAGGGAAGGTGTTAACACCCTTTCCATCTATAGTTATCTACGAGCTCTTAGTTGCTAGCTCACTTTTGAAAATGCTTTTTATGTAAGTGTATTTGAAAATATTTTTGAAAATACGCCTTAGTGCAACGAACTTTATAATGTTTATCGTATCATTGAGAATATATACAAAGTGTTTTGTCTTTGAAAATATTTAGAAAAAGGATTTGCGTATGTGTGAAAAAATGTTTTGTTTGTTTTTGTGAGCAAGCAACTATAAGCAGTCTACCTACTCGAATGGTCTTTGTTCTTTTCCTCTTTTCCTTTAGATAGTGTTATCCCACCATTAGTTAGTGGGTAGCCCTATCATTTGATGTTTGAGGGACAAGCGAGGGGTATCGTACAGTCATAAAGGTAACTCGTAGGGCACTTTAGCAATTTTATCGTAAGGGACTAGATCGTTTACCGAAGGCAGCATCGAAGGGTCATCAAGGGACTACGATCTTTTTAACCGAGGGTCTTTGCTAAAGTATCCCATGTTCAAGGGACATGACTATTTTTCTGAAGGCAACAAAGTGGAGGTACCTTAGCGGTGCGCGTGTGCAAGTGTGTTGTTTTTAAGTTATGTTTATCTTGAGTGTTGGGTTATCTAGCGTTCGCTTTTAGTCTTTCCATACAAGCCTATTAGCATACATCTAGCAGTCAATATAAGTACAGAAAATAAAAATGCGGAAATTTGAAACTACGCTATTACAATGCTTCAGGATGGGGGAATTTACAAACCAAAATGGGGAAATAAGAGAGTGAATGGTCCTAGTTTAAAGTATATTACATCCCATGTACAATTACACAATGTTATAAAAAAATAACGCGAATAGAATAAGATGAATGCGCGAAGAAAAAAAGAGGGGAAAGATGTAAAACCTAAAAATAATCTAAATGATGAAAAAAATATTTTTATTGTTTTCTTGTTTTAGGAAAAATAAAATAATAATTAAATTGGTGAAAACCTAATTATAATTGATTAATTAAAAAAAACAAGAGTGATTAAATAAATAATTAAAAATTAATTTGATTAAAAAAGGGTCCAATACTTTTGTGATTTTTATAATTTTTAATAAAAGGAAATTAATTAAAAAAATATAAATTAAACAAAACAAAAAAATAATAATAGAAAATGAGAAAAGATGGCCTTTGCTGCAACAAGTAATAAGAGGGGTGAGAATTTGAAAATAACAACAAGCCCAAACTTGGCTAGAGCCCAGCATTGCGTTGCAACAGAAAATGGAAGGGAGGTGTACTTCTGAAATTGTCCTAAGCCCAATAAGAAGTCCAGGCGCTGCAAAAGAAAAGTCAGGGGTGCAAAGAAACAAACAAAGCCAAGCCCAATTCACAAGGCCCAGATCTGCAAAAAGAAAAAAAAATGTTGAAACACAAAATTGCAAAACCTGGGACTCGAACCCAGGATCTAGAAGTGGAATGCCTTTAGGACGCGCTTGCTACCACTGGACCATTCTAATCATTCGTCAATACAATGAAATGAAAACAATATAATATAAAATGTAAGCCAATGGCAGATCAGCAAATACACGCGCTCACTATGGGCCCCTATTATTTTGAATGGACGAATCAAGAAGTGAGGTTTGGACACGCAAGATCAGGGAGGGTCAAACCACCACACGTGGTGGTTGACCTCCTTCTTCTCTGGTAAGCAAAATTCCAATCTGCAAAAACACGATGGGTTAATGAAAAAAAGACCATAGCCCCCCTAATTCGGGGGTTGCGAGTTCAGTGGCACCATCTGTTTGGCCTGAAACTCATGGCATCGCTCAGTTTGAAACTCAACCGTTTCGGACCCTAACAATGGCATCCTGCAATTCTAATATGGAACCTTCAATTTAAACACCCAAAAATGACCTATGGATTCATGTGAACACAAACAAATGTTAGCATGCCATGAAATGTGACTAAAAAAAGAGATTCGAAATTCATAACTTTACCAAACCGGTGAGATTGAGATATCGTGTTATGGCTTGTCTCAGGCTCGTGTGAGGGATGGAAACGACTCCTTTAACTTTGAGGGAATGATTTATGCACTTAGTTTGGACTGATGATGGCTGGAAGTACAACTACGAATTTTGACAATTTTGAGAATTTTTTGTGAAATTTGAGAGCTCTTGTTAGGAAATGTATGTGTGTCCTCCTTGATTGCATTGTATTGTGTATTTATAGAGGAGTGAGGAGGTTGACAAATATGGTAAAATATCAAGGCATTAACCATGGTTTTAACATGAAGATCAAATTTGAAAAAATGTCCTTATTTGAGAGATTCTTGCCAACTTTGGATATGCAACGAACCGATACAGGTTCTATGTGTCTTGCATGAAATCTTGGGCTCGATGATGGGTCAAGTCAAGCCCAAATGCTCTAACCCATTATTTCTTGTATTTTTATCTAATTTATTTGATTTTAAATTAAATAAAATCAAGATAAATATAAATAATAATCAAGGCCATGCAAAAATTGACTTAGAGGTCCTTTAAGATATTATGGACATGTTTGAAATCCAAAAAGTAGGCTTATTGGTCCAAAGTAACAATTTTGCTCAATTTGCACTTCATGAATTTCTTCAAAATTCCGCAACTTGTGCAACTCATTACTTGCTCAATTTTCATATTTTTAAGATTATCTTAGACTTTTTGAAAATCCCAAGATGTCCTCTACAATCTCTATGTTGATCATTTTTTCTTTTGAAGACATTATCTTGATGTAAGTTGTCTTGATAAAAAGTGTCTTTTGTTGACTTTTGAAAATGACCTATAATGTATGAGATCATATCTTCCAGATGAAGCATTTTTTGGACTTGAGAATAAAAGAAAAGTTGTAGATAATTGAATTTACTTCAAAATGAGCTTTGGTTGTGGAAAAGTCGATGAAACATGTGAAAGTTATGTCTGGTTAAATTTCAATTGACTTCTTCTAAGGAAACCCTAATTTGACAAATCTAGACTTTTGATGATTTGAGAGTTTTCCTTGGGGAATCATGATCAACCCTTGATCAAATTATTAATATAACTTCAAAATGTTAATGTTAAACAAAAATCTTGAAGTTTGACTGTACGTTGATCATAATTGAATTTTTGATCAATATAGTTGACTTTCAATCATCTGAGCCATTAACTGAGCAAACTTGTGATGTAGGGCTTGAAACTTGACATGAACCTTGTTGAGGACCTATGAAGAACCATGGAAGCCACTTGATACCTTTGTAAACCAAATTTCCTTGAGAAACTCCAAACCCTAGTTGTGGGCCTTTGACTCAGGAGGTGAGTTGACTGGTCAACCCTTGAGTGTCTTGACTACTTGAAGAGCCTTGAAAGAATGCCTTGAGAAAAATGAGAGAGAAAATTTTGGGGTACAACACTATCCTTAAAATACATTATTATCCACCAAAGCTTTATAACTAATACTTAAACAAGTAAAATTTTATCTTGAATATTTCTTAATCGTTTTTTTTTCTTGATCTTATTGTTATTTATAATTAAAATAAAAAAAATTACTTTTTAAGAAAAATGTTTATGTACTTCTTCTTATTAGGGGCCCTATTTTAAAATGAGTTATAGTGCACTGACAGTGTAAAATAGTTTTACACTGTCATTCAATGAAAATTTATTATTTAGTCATGTCATATAATTTCTCTAAAAATAACAGTCTGCCTTGTCACTTAACATGGTTGTGATTGGTTGACCGTGTAAACTTATTTTACATTGTCAGTGCATATATCTTTTTCTCTTTTAAAATTTGAACATGGCATAATCATTCAAATCTTTTATGAACATACTAGTAAGAAACCCGTGCGATATCATTTGTAAATTTTGAAGAGAATATCAAAACGGAAAAATGATATGAGCATGCATATTAATCGTAACAAAAATATTACCTTAATAGAGTTGTTCGTCGATGAACTCATTAGCACTGGGTCATTAGCAAACACATTAAAGCTTAGATCTCTGCAAGAATGAAGTATATGTCAAATTCGAAAAACATGAAATTTTAGAATGTTAAATGATTGGAGAATAGAAAAGAAGTAATTTTTAAGCTGAATAAAGTATCGATCCGACTCATAAAATAACTAAGTTTGTCATTTCACTAATGTAATCGGGAATAGGACCTGTGATTAAGCAATTTCTCAGCTCCCTGAGTCACATAAATGTAACAATACATTAAGAGCATAAATACATCTTTTAGTTCTTAATAAAATAGTTAAAAATATTTCAACTCACAGTAGTTGCAAGTTTTTCAAATCCTTCGGATTAGTAAATGTCATAGTTGGTCCATTCAAATCACTTATTCTCCTGATACACATAAATTTTTCATCAGTGAAAAGAGTTTAGTTTTAATACATTGTCAACAAATTCTAACCAATACTGTGTGTGAGTTTAGAAGTGCGTATGATTAAAGTAAAATATTTTAACGATCTAACGATTACGATTGATTGCTAGTCTATACACAATTTATAGTTGAATCCTTTTTATTTAGGGTGAAGGTACTCACAACTCAGTCAAAAGTTTTAACTCAGATAGGGTAGGGGAATTGGAGCTTCCATAGATGTTTCGTGCATATCCCTTCAAAAACATAAAACTTGATTAGAAAATCGTAAACACATTAAGCATGATATAACATATAGAGAGAAGAAGATTAAAGATCCTATTGGGAATCAAGTCGGTTAGCAATTATGTAAGTAGATCAAGAAAGTTACCATTTATTCTAACTCTTGTCTTCCCACTTCATTTTATCATCAATACATTGATATTTTATAAAACATTTTAAATAGATAAAATTACTTGCTTCCTGTAGATCTTTTCTTCAACAGTTCCACATGTAACCAGTCTATACACAATAACATCTTTCTTTTTCCGTACGATATGCCCGGTCAAGAGATTAAATTTAACAAAAGTATAATGCTTCAGATGATACAAAAATACTTGGTCAAGAGTTTCTTCTACACAGGAAGATCAATCTTTTTCTTCACCCTTTCAGGATTAAGAGTTTTGAATTGAGAAGTTCCTGCAATTTCTAATATGGCAACAAATTTATCTCCATGCGATTTCAAAAGAAATAGACATCAACATACAATACCTTTAAACAATAGAATAGAGAGGAATAGTCGGTACCGTCGCAATTCATCGGAGAAGCAGAGGTTCAAAAGCCGATTAAGGAGGAGCAGCAGAGCTCCTCACATCAACCGTACTTACAAACCCTAACAAAATAGAAAAGAAAAGATGCATAAGTTTTTAGTGATGACATTTGAGTTGCGAAGGGAAGTCTCATCGAAGCTGATTCAGAGGTGGTTTGTAACGGCTGCGCTTACGAAGTTGGTGGTTAAATCAATGCGGTTTTGTGTTTTTGCATGGTGGTTTATGTCCCATCATTCACCTTCCTTGATTAGTTATGGGTTATGGCTTCACTGAGCTTCAAAACCTAAAACGAAATAACATAATCGATGGATTTAGTGAAAAACATATTTGTAAAATCATTCAAGAACAAAAAATAGGATAAAATCGAAAAAAAATAAAGGGACTCACTGGTGGTGTAGAGCGTTTCCGGTGATTTCGATCTATTCCCAATGATTTGATCGTGTTGTCATCTATTTTTGGGTTTGACTTCTTCTTCTTCTTTTGGGTGAGCGAAGAAAATGCTACGGCGGAGGAAGACATTAGCGTGGAGAAAAGTCATTTATGTATAGTTAAATAGGGTTCAGTGTTGGTTTGACGAAATTGGGATTCGGAAAACCCTATTATGGCAAAGGAGGGACGAAGATGATCAAAAATTTCAAAGAGAAAAGGGGTGATCAGATAGAGAAGAAATATGAGGAAAATAGATCATCAATGCATTAATAGTTTTTTCATCTTCCCGTGTGACTTTTCATTTTCAAAGGATATTGAAATTTGAAGAGAGAGGAATTTGAATGATAGATAGAGAGAAATCAATTTTAAAGAGATGAATTTATCATTGTAACTCTCAATGTAACGTTTCATTAACCATTATTAATTAATTGGATATTAAAATAAATAAAATGTCAAAATAAAATTTAAAAAAAAAAAAGAAAAAGAAAATGACACATAAGCGATAATAAATATCAAATCAACTATAATAAAAAACATTGTAATAAATTATTTTTAACTTTTAAATTAAAGAAGTTTAAGATTCTTTCAAAAGAATATTTTTTCATATACTTTATATTTTATATATTTATAATAGACTATTTGTGTTGATTTTCTTGTCAAAAAGAGACTGAATTGTTCTAAGTATTTTATTGTCTTTACATGAAACTTGTTATTGGTTATCTTTAACTTTGTTAATTGATGTTTTAGATATTTTCATTTAGAGGGTGTAACCATTTTTTATTTTCTTTTTCTCTTATATGTTTTATTTTGCAATTATAAAAAAATGAATTTTAAATAAATTAGGTTTGTAGCACTGATTTTACTTTTAAATTGAATAATATATTTTAGCATAAAAACTATATTTAAAATTAAAATCTACAAATTATAACTTTAAATTAAAATTAATTTGAGTTGATTGAATAATTCTACTGTTATATATTATTAATCGTGTTAAATAAATATAAGTTATTAATTTAAAAATCAATTCCTAAGACAGTATTTATTTATATTTATAAATCAATTATTAAAAAAAATAATTTAATTCAAAAGTAACCAAACTTATTAAAATTAATTTAATATATTTAAAATAACATCAGCTCAAAACGATAGTAACATAATTAATAGTTTTACAAACTGAAGATAATTTAATTTAGAGACAAGATGAGTTTTTTTTGTTTTTGAAATTTTCAACAAGTGATAGATATTTTGAAATTTAATATTAAAAAATAGAAGCTTGATATAAAGGGTTAATCCATTCCACACTTAGCTGTTGACCTTTTACAAAACAGGAAGGTAATGAAGATAAAGCATGACACACAAACACACACACACTGTTGCATGTCGTGTCAGCTCAGTGGAGAAAGACAACTTGTCAACCTCTATCTATCTCTACTCTACCTATTCATTCTCATCACTCACAACAAACTTTCCAAACATGATTCCAATCTTTTTTCCTTTTTTTTCTATATTCCTACCTCATCCAATCAAATTACTATAATTGATTTACTCACTAAACTGCTCATTTCCTTTCCTCTCCTCACCGAAGAGGCTCTCTTTGTTCCTTCCTTATTTTACAACAAGTTCTGTCCATTCGTGACAACAATCTCTTGTTTGGTTGCTGTTTTCTTTCTGTATTACAACTATCTATCTTATGTTTTTTTTTATCTTTCCACCCACTTCTCTCTCTAACCTTATCTACAATCAAGTTTTAACCTTTCTTCTTTTCTTTATTCACCCCTCACCTCTTCCCTTTTCATACTTTTGTATTTTTTTTATTTATTTATTATCATCTATTATCTATCTGATCTCACCCAGAATTCAAAATCTTTTCTTTTTTTTCTTTGTCATTTCATACACACTCTTTGTCTGTGAGATGGTTGCAAGATTGGATTTTTTTGTTATATTATATGTGTAGAACAATGTTTATGTTGTTGTGTTAATTTGGACTTTGAGTGAGAAAAATGGTTTCAAGATCTTATTCAAATCTACTAGAACTAGCTTCTGGTGAGTCTCCAACGTTTGAACATATGAACAGGAGAATTCCTAGGATTATGACTGTTGCTGGTTTGATATCTGATGTTGATAATGATGATGAGCCTTTGGAGAGTGTGTGTTCTGACCCTTCATCTTCGTCTGTCCAAAGAGAAAGGATCATCATCGTGGCTAATCAGTTACCTATAAAGGCTCAGAGGAAGCAAGATGGTGGTGGTAGTAACAGGAGTAATTGGTTTTTCAGTTGGGATGCGAATTCACTTCTGCTTCAACTCAAAGATGGGTTAGGAGATGATGATGTTGAGGTTATTTATGTTGGTTGTCTTCAGGAAGATGTTCATCTAAATGAACAAGATGAGGTTTCACAGATACTACTTGAGAGCTTTAAATGTGTTCCAGTTTTTCTCCCTGGTGATATGTTTACAAGATACTATCATGGCTTTTGCAAGCAACAGTTATGGCCACTGTTTCATTACATGTTACCTTTGTCACCAGACCTTGGTGGTAGGTTCAATAGGTCACTGTGGCAGGCTTATGTATCTGTGAATAAGATATTTGCTGATAGGATTATGGAAGTGATTAACCCTGAAGATGATTATGTTTGGATTCATGATTATCATCTCATGGTTTTGCCAACTTTCTTGAGGAAAAGGTTTAATAGAGTGAAACTTGGATTTTTTCTACATAGTCCTTTTCCTTCATCAGAAATTTACAAGACATTGCCTATTAGGGAAGAGCTTTTGAGAGCACTTTTGAATTCTGATTTGATTGGTTTCCACACTTTTGATTATGCAAGACATTTTCTCTCATGTTGTAGTAGGTTGCTTGGTCTTACTTATGAATCTAAAAGGGGTAATATTGGGATTGAATATTATGGTAGGACAGTTAGTATCAAAATTCTTCCTGTTGGTATACACATGGGTCAGCTTCAATCAGTTCTAAGCTTATCAAAGACTGAAGAGAAAGTTTCTGAGCTCATAAGACTGTTTTCTGATAATGGAAAGATAATGTTACTTGGTGTGGATGACATGGATATCTTCAAAGGGATGAGTTTGAAGCTACTAGCCATGGAGCAGCTTCTTATTCAGCATCCTGAGTGGCATGGAAAGGTTGTATTGGTTCAGATAGCCAATCCTGCAAGAGGGAAAGGGAGGGATGTAAAGGAAGTTCAAGAAGATACTAAGGCGACTGCGAAGCGGATTAACGAAGCATTCGGTAAACCTGGTTATGATCCTGTCATTCTGATTGAGGAGCCATTAAAGTTTTATGAAAAAGTTGCATATTATGTTGTAGCCGAGTGTTGTTTAGTGACTGCGGTTAGGGACGGAATGAATCTCATACCTTATGAATATATAATCAGTCGTCAAGGGACTGAGAAATTGGATAAAGTTTTGGGAATAGGTTCTTCTCTTAAGAAAAGCATGTTGGTTGTGTCTGAGTTTATTGGTTGTTCACCGTCTTTAAGTGGAGCTATCAGAGTGAATCCATGGAATATTGATGCAGTAGCAGATGCAATGGACTTAGCTTTGGAAATGGCTGATTCAGAGAAACAGCTTAGGCACGAGAAGCATTATAGATATGTTAGTACTCATGATGTCGGTTATTGGGCTCGTAGCTTCTTGCAAGATTTGGAAAGGACTTGTAGTGATCATGTAAGGAGAAGGTGGTGGGGAATTGGTTTTGGATTGAGTTTTAGAGTTGTAGCACTTGATCCAAACTTCAAGAAGCTATCAATGGAGCACATTGTTTCAGCGTATAAGCGGACAAAAACTAGGGCGATCCTTCTAGATTATGATGGTACACTAATGCCTCAGGCTTCCATTGATAAGAGTCCAAACAGTAATTCCATTAAAATGCTTAATAGTTTGTGTAAAGATGAGAACAACATGGTGTTTCTCGTCAGCGCTAAAAGCCGAAAGAAGCTTGCTGAGTGGTTTTCTCCTTGTGAAAATCTGGGAATTGCTGCTGAACATGGTTACTTTTTAAGGTAAATTGCTTGGGACTTTTGACCTTTTCAGCCTGTAGTCGCAAATTCCACGCAGTTAGCATATTGATTGCTGTTGGATCAAGATCGGTCCAGATTTGACTCTTATCTAAAGGCTGTTGATGTGCTGACTGTGAAAATTTGTGTATGCAGACAATCTAATTACACCTTTCCATGGTTTGATGCTTCTGTTAGATTATAACTTATGGCTGGCTGTATGGTTTCAGACTTAAGCGAGATGCAGAATGGGAAACCTGCGGACCTGTAACAGACTCCAGTTGGAAACAAATTGCTGAGCCTGTGATGAAGCTTTATACCGAAACAACCGATGGATCCACGATTGAAGATAAAGAGACTGCACTTGTTTGGTGCTACGAGGACGCAGATCCAGATTTTGGATCGTGCCAGGCTAAAGAACTTCATAATCATCTGGAAAGCGTGCTTGCAAATGAACCAGTAACAGTGAAGAGTAGCCTGAATAATATAGAGGTTAAACCACAGGTGCGTATAACATTTGTCGAATACTAGTGATATATTCTTTCTGTGTATTTGATTCTGCTTAAGCTTTATTATATGACATTGGCAATTGCATAGATGTTTATAAGAACTTACAAAAACAACTTAAGGATCCATAAGTAAACTGCTGTTTTTAGCTTATGCAGAGCTTAAAAATAATTTCTGCTAGATTACAGAAACAGAGAAGTTATATACAAGTTATATGATAATCACTAATTGAATAAGCACTTAATTAAGTTGAATATTTTGAAGTCCCCTAATCCAATCCTACATGGGCTTGTAGTATAGAGGTGGCAAAATAGGTCCGGCCTGTCTGACATGTCTGTTTTGCCTGCACTTTTCGCAAGGCGAGCCAAGGATTTAGGCTCTCACTCTCTAATATGTCCGCCCTGGCCCGCCCCTTTTTTTGTGGGCGCGGACATTTATGTAAGTTTAGAAATTTTTAGGCTATAAAAGTGCAACGCCCGCATGTCTGCCCTGCTCCGCCCACATTTTTTTTCCGGGACGAGTCAAGATTTTAGGCCTGTGCCCTCAACAATGGCTGTCCCGCCCCGTTTTTTTGCGGGATGGGCAATGCCCGTTTGCTACACCCTTACTTGTTGTTGATTTAATACTTACATACATATATATATATACACTTGCAGGGTGTGAACAAGGGGCTTGTGGCTAAACGCCTACTTTCGACCATGCAAGAAAAGGGAATGTCACCTGATTTTGTCCTGTGTATTGGAGACGACCGATCTGATGAAGACATGTTTGAGGTAATCACTAGCTCCGGTCCTTCCATGGCACCCAGGGCTGAAGTATTTGCATGTACTGTTGGTAGAAAACCCAGTAAGGCAAAGTACTATCTGGACGATACTACTGATATAGTGAGAATGCTGCAGGGTTTAGCCTCAGTTTCAGACCGAACAGTTTTATTTTAGACATGGTAAAGATAATGGTGAAAATTGAAATGTTTTCTTTCTTGGCTATTCCATGTAAATTATTACAGTTGTTATGGGTTATGTATTTTGGCTCAACTTCTCAACTTGTTTTGGGAAAACTTGTGAATATATTTCTCACTGTGAACCTTGCTTTGCATACCTTAATCCACAATCTTAATATACAGTTGTTTGGGATTTAAGACGAATCGTATGGGAGAACTCAACCTGAATTCGAATCCTAGATGACACAATCTTTAATCAAAATTGATTTATTTCTGTCAAACTGTGAATTACCAAAGTCCCCCTTCTATGTGAACCGGAGGGTGAACACCAAAATAAAGGTTGCTCTAAATGAAATTATTTATAGATTTAACAATGAGTTACAATATGTATATATAACAGAGTTTGGTCGAAATAAAACATATATGGCAGAGGTTGGTCATACAGATCAGAAACCAATGAAAGCTGAAAGGATAAGAGTTAATTGAACAAATGACTTAATAGGATGGAATATGAAAACTGTTTACAGATTTGAAGATCCAAAATATATGTGGTTCTGTATAATCCATTAAAAACCTTTCTAGGCCGATCTTATGCCTTAAAATCCCCTCTCAAAGCAATTTGAATTTGCAGAAGATCACAGATCCAAATAACCATGAGAGAAGGAATTTTAAGTTACTTCTGTTGATACCACTTAGTGTAATAAGGCTTGGTGGTTTTTGTTGTTCTGTCATAACATTGACCCTTAAACCTGCATCATCCCATATAACTTTGTGATTTCTGCAGCATCCACCAAGATCTGAAAATTAAATTTCATATTAAGGATTAAGATCAAGGGAAAGCTCTTGAGTCATCAAAAGGATGTAACAGAAAGTATATCACACTTTATTCTAAAAATCAGAAGATATAACCTCTAAGAACTCCTTACAATATTTTAATTCAGAAAACAAATTCTAAAAATGATTCATGTTCATAACGCTTTATATATCACAATTTATTTCACTGGAATCTATAATGGTAATATATTAGCTCACCAAACTACTGGAATGTTTCTTTCTGTTCAATACAAAGTTGTTGAATTATATAGGAGGTCAAATAGCCAACGAAAACACACCATAGACGGGACATTCTGCTGAACCTAACAAGAGGTAGCAAAAAAGAAGAAAAATTAAACACTCACAAATTGTTTGGAAGGTAGGCAATCAGAACTCAATTCAGATGCTAGACATGAAATCAGACAATGTATACCATAATTTGAGACCACAATCTTG